AACAATAACTTTTTCTTACTCTACTTTGGTAACAGGGTTGAATGGTTGCACTTGTAATGGGACACCAAAAGTACCATTTAGATTTATATCTTTAGCAGATGTGTTCTTTCCAAAACAACTTATAATAAAGTGCACAGATCACTGTACTGGCCAATACAAAGACAAGCAGCTGCGTAAACACAAGGCCCAAAAGAAGCATGTTAATCACAGAGAAGAAGCTCTTTACAACAGCAGGTACAACAACAAGTTAAATTAAATTCATTTGCTAAGTGCACACTCTTAAAAATAAAGGTTTCAGAAGGAGGTTTTTACACTGATGCCATGGAAGAACCATTTTTGAAACCACAACAGCATAAAGAACCTTTTGTGCAATAGATGTTGAAGATTCTTAATGGAACCATCAATGCCAATAAAGATCCTTCATTTTTATTTCAAAATTATACAAATCAAGAAAAACATCACAGCAGAATATGCACAGAGATGAGCACTCTAACCTACACTAATTAACTAGCAATCAAACTAGAACATTACAATGAGACACTGGTTATGTTAAAAAAAACATATTTTAGTTATTGTATACACAAACTGTGTATGATTCATGCCATAGCTCTTATAAGCTCACATTTTCAAAAAAATATTACTTGAGTTTCTGGGCAGTGAGCTGGTTTTGTGAGTTAAGATAAACCTGGCTCCTATTACTGTGGAAAAAGAGAGCGGGATAAAGGAGAGGCTACAATTACACACTCACACACACTCTCTCTCTCTCTCTCTCTCTCATACACACACACACACACACACACACAAATGGTGTCTTGTGGGCCCCAATAAGCCTGCAAAGGTCAAAATATCCATAATTCAATTTGTGCAAAACACATCTGTGAGAAAACAGTGAGAGTGTGACATCCCCAGGCATCTCTGATGATCAGTGCCGGTCATTTATACTGTACACCCGTCCAGAAAATGAGCTGGAACAATTCCCCAGCACAACACACTCCCTCTGGAAATGTGCTGAAAGAAACACAGAAAATGTGTAGGGATATACTTTGGAGACAAATTAGTCACCAGAAGTTAAAATGGATAAACATGACAAAACCTCCAACTGGGGGAGTCCTTGTTTGGAGAAACAGTGCATAAATGAAATAATGCTGTTTTTTTTATTTTTTATAAAAATGTAAAAGGTTTTCATTATAAACATGCAATATATATATATAAAAGGTACTGGTAATTTTCTGCCAGGAAAATAGCAGACAATACCCGAAAACACAACACAATGCAATGCATAATTCAAAATACGGGTAAAATACATGTGAAAAAACAATATGATAAATTCTGTCATATTAACAGTATTTTCACAGATATTTCTTAGAATGTTGGTTAGCATTATTCTATAGTAATTATATTTAGTTTTAAAATGGTATCTGCTCATTTAAGGCTGGACTTTTAAAATGTTAAACGCTAGGCATCATACACTGACTTTGTAAAGAGTTACAGAGGAAAACATGGCCATCATAAACTAAGGGTATGTTTACACAACAGCAACTGTACTAAAAACAGAAAAGTTTTTCCTTTGCGTTTTTGAAAAGTTTTGTGTGTAGATGACAACATTGTCAAAACAATCCCCGTTCACACGGATCTGCGAAAACCACTAAAAACACAGTATTATGCATATACTGTATATATATATATATATATATATATAATATTATGCAATATTATGCATCCAGGCCAGCAGTCAGCGATGTCAGTTTGTAAAGAAACAGTAGCATGTAATACGCATGCACATGAAGTTACAGTTTTCACAAATTTGCAATTTTGTAGGTTACAGAGAGGCAATAACGATGTTGTTTTCAAAAACATGCACTTTGAAACCCGTTTTCAAAAGTTTACATTTTTAGGCCCCCAAAACACCATTGTCAGGTAAATGAATGGCCAAAATGCATAAAAAGTTTTCAGTTTTTAGTTAAAAATGGTGTCGTATTAACGTATTATCACACAACACCAGACTTTCAAGTCGTTCCAAACTCACACAGAAACATGCAACTTCTTGCTAGCAGAAATGTGACAACTGAAAACTATTTGTTTTCTAAAATCAGCTCAAAATATCAAACATGTTTGATATCTTCTGACTGGATGGAAGAGTGAGAGAGAGAGAGTGAAATGGAGTGTGGATAAAGCCGTGCTATGGATAACAGTAATCTCATCTCATGGGGAGTGTGACATGGCTCTTGAATAAATGGGTTAAAAAAACAGAAACACATACACACGTGCAATCTCACAATCCCTGTGATCCACACAACTCAAATCACACACACTCATACACACACTCATACACACACACACACACACACAGATCTACAGCGGCCTCAAAGTATTTACACACTTAAATCACATGTGAAATGTATGAATGTTATTGTATTAGATAAAATATTAAAACATGTCAATTTATTAACCCTGTAGTGCTTGACGTGAAATAAGTAATTTAATAGTCATATATATAATAATAGTAATATTTGTCATACATTTGTCATACATTTCTAATATTTAGAAACAGGAGAGTTTATTGAAACTGCAGACAAAAAATTTAATCTAAAAAAGTAAAGTTTACATAAGTGTTTTTTGTTGAGATCCATCTAGGCCTGGGTGATAAAACGGTATCGATATTTATCGACGGTACATCTTCATCGATAACGATATTAAAAATGTTCGATTGAGTGACGCAGACAGCACACAGAGAGTGTAAAAACCCATCTTGCAAAACCATGTTTTTACCCAAATGCACTTTGATAAACGTAATGATTTATATTTACCAGCTGTCCAGGACGGATTTCGCGGGAAATTGCTTACATACATCACTCGCACGAGCGTGTCACGTCATATCCGTACACAGAGAAAAGTAGCTCCGGTTGTCTGCGAGTAGCGTGAAGATGAAAGTTTGTTGTCACAACCAACGAGGAAAATTGGCCATGGATCATTCAAAACGGCAAATTACCAGTTGTAAGAAAAGAAGGAGAAGAAGAAACCGTTCTTTATTGCCTCTACGCTCTAATAAGATGGCCTGTATTCCGTTGCCTCGGACCATATTCATCCGCTCAGACGAGCAGAACCGAAGCACAACCAAGACAATGTTCTTCCGCAAGACGCACGCGTGCGGTGTTTATTTTTTGACCGCTAGAGGGCCAAAGAGAAAAACAATCCCCACTCACAAACGGCTTACATTTCTAAAGTAGTTTCTGTATTTTGCAAATCAATGTATCATAAATAATCAACTCTAAAGGATCATAATCAAATGAGAATCCAAGAATATACTGATTAAACTATGTATTATATAATTTTTGTTAGTTTGTTTGTGTGTTCATGTTAGAATTCCGATCCGTCCTTGTGTGTGTGTGTGTGTGTGTGTGTGTGTACAAACGTATGGAAACTCACACATGTACAAGACGCAGATCTACATGTCATCAGTTATGAGTTAGCATGTGTTACTGCCTAATGAGTAATAAACAGACAGACAGATCACATCATGATCAAATAAAGGCCAGTACTCTTCGGCTCATTATAATATTAACCAGCGTTTCCCTGATTACTCATCTATCACTAAATCCAATCCACTGTTTGTAATTGCATCAGAGTGGCTTTGCATGTTATGGTTTATTTTCCACCTTAATTTCAAATGAAACAAAATGTTCTGTCTTTCTACTTTTCTTTCTTCACATGACCCTTGGCAAACTCAATCTGTCTTTGCTGAAGTGATTTTAAAGGACCAAAACAAGGTAGTAAATCAACTTTAATAAGCCGTTCTGGCTGCATGGTGGTTGTTTGCGTTAGGGTTAGCTTTTCAAAGAGGAGTTTAATTTGCGGTCAGTGTTGAGGAGTTTAAGAATTTATGGTAAACTAGTTTCTGACAAGAATCATTGTAAACGAAGAACAGAAAGGATGAGGTGTTACAGAAAAAAAAACTGAGGGAAAAGCGGTGACTTTTTTTCAGCAGTGTTGGTTCCAGATTTTTCTTTTTCTTTTCCAAATTAATTTTCTCCATAGGGATTTGTAACAATTTTTTAAATTATTTATTTTTTTTATATATAAAAGCCTTAAACCAAACCAGCCAGCTCCAGGATTAATCATAACATTTCAAACTGTACTGGAAGGGAAAAACGTTTTTGGAAAGTAAAAAATACATCTTTTAGTTTCAAGTCGGTTTGAACAATCCGGATAAGCGCAAGTAAGTACCATTTTGATTAGCCGTCGTACCTACAATGTTTGTGCACTGTGTAAACAATGAGTGACGTATACACGCGAGAGATCACTTCCGGCGCTTGCATAAACTACGCCAGAGCGCGTACACACCTCACGCACCGGATGCCGTGCTAAATAATCAACTCTAAAGGATCATAATCAAATGAGAATCCAAGAATATACTGATTAAACTATGTATTATATAATTTTTGTTAGTTTGTTTGTGTGTTCATGTTAGAATTCCAAAGGTAACGCTGTACAATAAGGTTTCATTTGCTAATATTATTTAATTCATTAGTTAATTTTAACTAACAATGAGCTACAGCATTTTTTCTTTACAGCATTTACAGGTATAACGTATGATTAAAACATTAGGAAATATTAAAATCACCTTTATGTATGATTAATAAAAGCTCTAGCTGTATTGTTCTTTGTTAGCTCAAAAACTTTTCTTAGAACCTAAAGTGTTCATATGCCAGAGAAAATACCCATCAGAATTATCTGTCCTGTAAAAGCTCTTTTATAATCTTGCTTGACAAGGTACACAAACAGATCATGAAACCACAGACACATTCACTTAAAGGGATAGTTCACCCAAAAATGAAGATGTGATGTTTATCTGCTTACCCCCAGGGCATCCATGAGCTGATTATTTGTCTGACAACTTGACCAATCACTTAATTAATGTGGCTAATTAATTGGAGACAGACGACTTAATGATGAACAGGTGATGGACAACAACAAAAGGTGCTTTCCCGTTATTAAAACAGACACGCAAGCCGGTTGCACTCATGCTGGAGTGACTTAAGTGTGTTTTAAGTTTTAGTGTCCTCACATTTGTTTTGGAAATGCCTCCTAAAAAAGCCTCTGCAGGGCCAACTGCTGTAATCCCAAAGGATTCGGAGAATGAATTCGCTGAAACAAAACCAGGTTCGTAAGCAGTTTTGTGGACTTTGCCAAGTTTTAAATGAACGCTTGTATGTTCTTTCATACGTAACTTCTGTTCTCCTTTCTAAATCTTGTTTCAGACGCTTCTGAAGGCTCCAGCGGTAAGACCGTTGCACGGAAAGTTTCTCCACACCCATCCACGATGGAGATGGTGAAAGAAGCTCTGAAAGAGCTGGACTCCAGAAAGGGCGTTTCGGCTCAGGCCATCCGGGGCTACGTCAAAGAGAAATACACGACTGTGGATGAGACACGGCTGAAGTTTTTGGTGCGACGAACCCTGAACAAAGGCATCGAGACTGGCGTGTTTGTGAGACCTGCAAATTCTGGGTCGACAACGACAGGTGCCCAAGGGCGTTTTCGGGTAACTTCCAGTTTCTTACACCATTTTATGAATCATTGCTAGGGATTCAATACAACGTAATGGCCCCTGTGTCCTATTTCAGATTGCTGCCAAGACCAAAGCAAAGGAGGCCAAGACGCAGTCAAAAGAAAATGCTGATCCCAATGTACAGAAAGCACCCAAAGCTAAGAAACCTAAGGCAACTAAAGCAGAGGGTCAAGGTAAAGTTTATAGTTTTACACTGAGGAAAGTTTGCTGTAGGATTTACTTTTAAAACCATTCAGTTGGAAATTGCTATTACACATTACCAAGGAATTGGCAAGTAATGCATTGAATTTAAATATGAAGCTAAGTAGGATGACTGAAGTGCTGTTTTCTTGTAAGACGTTAGTCTCTTTATCTTTACAACTTAATGTGTCTTTCAAGGCACGTTCCTTAAGAATTCACTTTTAAAGAAATTGTGGCACAGTGGGAAAACTATTTCTTGCAACTTTAACTTGAGGTTTCTCTAGTTAATGAGCTTTTACTGAATTTGAAAAGCACTGCAGTTATGTTGATCAAAAGTCAGCACTGAGAATAAACCTATCGTTATGCTTCACAAAACTCATTATTGGTGTAAATGGGCCTTAGGACTCAAAGCCCTTGGCGTTCACCATTGTGAGTCTAGCCTGTGCTGAAATTATACTAGTTGTGGCAGTTATTTGTGAATGCTGCCGTCTTTTTAATGGGAGATGAGTTTTAAATGTGTAACCATGCGTTTTAGCACGAACTTTACCCCGCTAGGTTTTTCTTCCCTATTTCTCCATTTCAAGGAGCAAGCAAAGAAAAGAAGTCTGTGAAGAAAAAGGAGACCGCAGACGTGAGTTTTAGGTCTAATTTTCACTTTCTACATGAGCAGACGCTCTCAGCTGTGTAGTCTGAACACTCGCTCTCTTCCTCTCCTCCCGTTCTCTTAGGATGCTAAGCCTGAGAAAGATGGCACTGCCTCAAAAGTGGCCCCTGCTAAGAAGCCAAAGGCGAAGAATGCTGCAGGGGAGGGTGGAACTGAGCCCAAACCGAGCAAAGCTAAAAAGGCCTCTAAAGCATCAAAAGGAGGTGAGGAACCAGCAGCTAAGAAAGCCGGAAAGAAAACCTCAACAAAGGCAGAGGGTGATTCTGGAGAAAAGGGTGCTGCAGCCGCTACCAAAGGCCCGGGGAAACGAGGGAAAAAGTGACGCAGGCTCTTCAACCGTTTTTATTCACCGCAGTGTTTTATTTGTGCACTTGTATACCAAATAAAGCTTTTTACCTCTTTTCAACAGCGCAATTGAATTTCCTCAAGTTTGGTGGGAGGGGGCAGTGGTTTAAAGATCTTTAGATGTGGTTAGGATCAGGTTAATGGTTAACCGTCAGCTCATAGGTTGTTGACGCAATGTCATCAGTGTTAACTTGCAGTGAAACCAACAGCGTGGTTGCCAGAACTTTACTGTAGAAAGTAGCAGCATTAAGTTTAACTTAAATTTACAGTGGAGGCTTCCAACAAATGTTAATTTCACAAAACTTGACCATTTGTGATATTGAATACCACCTTTAAAAACGGGTTGTGATGAACTTTTGATTCGTGTGGCTCTTTAGTAGCTCCTTCACAAGCTGCAGTGGTGCGGCGTTATATGCGCAAAGCTAAAATGATACAATATAATCGACTCTTCAGAGTGCACACAAATACACCGTGCAGTGTCTATGAATAGGTAATGAATTTTCCAATGTTTATATAAAGGGCTGCAGGGATGGAACCTGCAAACTAATTCGCATTTTAGCACTTTTGGTTCCATTGCCTTCAATGGGCTTTTGGTTAAAAGCATGAAATAAGGTCTGTGGTGTGAACAAGCTCAAGATATTTCGGTGTTTTAAGTTTGATAAAATACATCAGTAATACCAACTTTTTTTTTTTTTTAAGATTCCACTTGTCTTGAAAGATGATTGCTAACAAGTGGTTGAATGGGACTTCAGTGGTTGTTAGGGACATTAACAAGGTAAACTCATCTACTCACTAGTCCACATTAACAGCCTTGTTGCTAACTATTCTACCTTTCTGGGAAAATGTTTTTAATGAATGAAAGAGTGGAAGCTTGTCATGTGACCGTGGTGCAGGTTATAGTTTTTAGCTTTTTACTTCTGCCAATTGCACTTCGGCTTCAAAGTTCCCAAAAGTCGTGTTCATTTATGAAGATGAACATTACGAGCAGGATGTGTAAGAGTCATGAAGTTATGTTGGTCATATATCTCATTTTCTGCAATAATTCAAAAGCCAGTGGAAAAATCCTATTGGGATTCTGTCGAGGGAACCAGGGTGATGTGAACTTCTAGGCTGGCCTACAAAAACACATCACTGCAGTGCTCTGTAGTTTTATCTGACGTTTGTTTGAGGGTGCTTAACATCTCTGTAGAACCGGTCTTGTCTAGAGCTAATTGGCTGTTCACTATAAACGTCACTCCTTCAGATGCACATTAATCATAAACTCAAAATCAAACCCTGAGGTAATTTATATCAAACATTGTGAAGCCACTGAACCCGGGTTTGATTCATCTGGTTTTGTCAACTCATTGCCAAGTTCTTCATAAGACAGGCCTCTCTGCAGGACTACTGTGGGTTTTACTCAACAGTCAACAGGGATGTATGTTGATATCTTTATGCCATCTTTACAAGGATAAAAAGTATTTAGACTGGCTACAGGAGTTTAAAACCAACCCCCCACCCAGGTTAAGCAGAGCAGGGCCCGAGCAGTCAAGACAATCCCATTAAGACTTGCTGATCTGCAGGAAAGACAGCCGGATCAGAGGTCAGCTGACAATGGCATTCTTCACTCTGGGACTGAGACCGTGTGTGAAGCTTTGGCCCCTTGAGGGAAGTTTAATAAGACAGTATTAACTGTGCATTTTCCACCGAGCTTGGGTCCCCGAGGGCCTGCAGAAGCCTGGGGCCCGAAATCCCTCTGATTACCCTCTCATTAGCGTACGGCTCCCAGCCAGGTGAAATTACTGAAGAGTGGGATGGTGGGGAAGAAGAGGAAAAACAGACCACAGGTGGACAGAGGGAGGACGGGAAGACAGATTGATGAGGTGGATGTGTGGACAAGGAAGACGGATTGAGGAAGTGAAAACAAATGGTGTGATATGAAAGAGGATAAATAGACTGGGCTTTAAAGCAAAGACAGAGTGATTGAAAGAATGATAGCAAACACGAAACCGTACACAGACTGAAGGAGGCATGGACAGATGAATGGAGAGAAGGAAAGATAACCTGAGGCTGAGAGTGAAGCGAAACAGCTGAGCGTGGTCTGGTTGTGATGGGCTACTGTGAGCTGTGACAGGACTGTAACCACCACAGACGAGTCCTCAACAACAGTCAGATGTGGCCAAATTGTCCCCCAATATTTGTTGTTCTTGATGCAGCTGTGCTGCACTAAATTAAGCAAAAATCTGTTGTTAGGCAAACAATTAGGCAGGTCTAATGGTATAAAAGCGCTTGTCAGTCCCAAACTGACTGAGATAGCCAAACAAATCAAAGGTTTTACTTTACTGTTCACAGAAGCTAAAGGTGAAGTAGGCCTACTTTTCTAGGTGGATTAATTTGTGACTATGCATTAGCAACATGGTGGATTTTCCTCCTCGTTTTACACAAATCAAGTCGCAATAGTTTTCTGTGTCAGTCAGCAGTGTCACAGATGCTGTCCACAAAGCTTAACTTGCATTCAACCCGGAACATTCTTTTAACCCTTATAATGACCAATGAATGCCCCTAAAGCATAGAATGTTAATAATGCACAGAACATTCAAACACACACTCACACACACCTAATGGAGAGTCTGGCTTTATATCGCTCTTATCCAAGTCCGTTCTCCAGTCAGGTCTCCCCATATGCTTCAGTGCACACAAGAATGAAGGCTAGACATAAAGAGCTGAGTGTTCTCACACACACACACACACACACACACACACACACACACACA